TCGCGAACCGACAGCGCGAGAATGAAAGAGAATATTTATTTGTAACATAGTTGAGAGAGAGAGAGAGAGAAAGAGAACTTGTAAATAAACCTCGTTTACGAACTAAAAAGTTCGGGACAGAGAATGTAAGATAACTTAATACATTCGAAATAAAAATCGAATATTTTTCTTTAAGCGCGTGTCACACCGTTTCTTCATCCCCATTCTGTTGACTCGTCCTCCATTGTGCATGTTTGAATGTAACATGTTGCGGTGTAGTTTTCGATTTTTGGAGAATACAAAGTTATTTCTTTTTTCTTTTATTATTTTACAAATTGCTGCAGAAGATAACAAATATTCTAATTGATCGAATTCTCAATAATTTTGGTGACTTTGGACTCGCGGATTGCAAATTATTAATTGAAAGTTTGATATTTCCGTTGCAGAGACGATTTGCGATGTTACGTTGAGGTCAAGTTTACCTGCTTCGAGCAATATTTGATCCAATTAGTTCTTTCGAACAGTGAATAACTAATTTATCGCAGTTTGAAACACAAATGAGATTTTATACATTTAGTTCATAAACTTTCCTTGAGCGTTTCGTACAACTAATTGAAATTATTCGCGTTGCTTTATCAACATCAGAGTGAAAAAAATTGAACAATCGCCGTGTTATTTTCTCAAATTTTGTTTTACTATTGACAAAACGTCGTAATCGCAGTTGCAATTATGATCGAAATGTCGATAGTTAGTTTTAGAGAGCGAAGTAACATTTGATCGTGTAAATAGGGCAAACAATTAACATCGGCCGCATTAAATGTCATTTGCCAAATGCGTTGTTGTGAACGCGCGGCTGAAACGTTTACATTTAACTTGGAACAAATTAAAAGTATCCGAACGCGCGTATTTTAACGGCGAAATTCCGCGCAAACTGAATTGCAATCGGATTAAATTGATTTTTACTGAAGCCCCCAATGTACAAACCGAAGTTCCTAATTGTCCAACTTTATAGGACTGTAATTATCCTTTAATTTAATAACAGTTTATCTTTCGATCTTTCTTACGAAGTTTGACAAAATCGGCGAAAGAACTTTTTTTTTTTTTTTAAATTGAGGAAAAGTCTCGCTATATTTTTCAACAGATTTATAGCGTAACAATTAGAAAAATACACGAAACGAATCGCTCCAAATTGTCAACTCAATTTGTATACATTACTACAGATGAATACTTGTTGACAATCTTGTTGATAACCTATAACGTATGTAGTTGAAGAATCAAAGAATCCTGTCTCCTACCGGTGTCTGATCGCAATAATTTCTCTCGCGTTTGCTTCCTCCATTAATACAAAAAACGAAAAAAACAAAAAAACGAAGTGAATAATTCCGTTCGCACGGTTATTAAAAAACAGTATCGACCGGCAGAAAGTAGCAGCGTGCGAAAGCGAGCGAGACAAAGCGAATGGATCGTGGAGGAGACCCGGCCGATAAAATACGGTTTAGACGAGCTCGAAATCCGTCCCCGGAATCGGTTTTCCACCCCTCCCCTTTTTTCTGCCTTCTCCATCTCGTTTTTCTTTATTTCTCCCTCTCTCTCGTCGAGGTTGGCAACGTTTCGTTCATATAACGTAGCGGGTTTATCCGGCGTTATGCTGTCGCGCGTGTGACACCGCTCGAAAGTCGAGGCCGGCCTTCCCCCCGTTAATTTACGAGTTTCCCGGAGGTATTACAACAAATCCGCGATCGAGAGACAAAGGCAAGCCCCGGCGCGATTTTCACGCGCGCGAATATATCGATTCGAAGTTTAGTTAATCGCCGGAAACTGCACCACCCCCGTCGGGACGCCGCAACACCTCTGACTAGAATCACCAGCGGAACGTGTACAGGACGTATTAAACGCGGCGTTACCGATCGTTAAGGGATGGTGGGGTGCGTAGCTCGTGTTGATTGATTGGACGAACGGAGCTAGTAGGACTTTGGTTTGTTGGAAATGGAAAAAATGATTAAGTTAGTAGTAATTGTGAATGACGAGATCTTCTAAAGCTTGTCGAGGACCAACGTTCCATTAACGCAATCTCTTTTCGATTATTCTATTTTTCAATATTGGAGGAGAGAAATTATTGTTATTGGAAATGGAAGAATAATCGAAATAGGAAAGTTAATAAATTAGTAGTAAATCAGAGAGTTAGTTAATAATAAAGAATGTATTTTCCTTTTTGTTAATTGACTGACAAGATTTTCTAAAATCTATTAAGGACCAACGTTTCATTAATGCAATTTTTTTCGATTATTCTATTCTTCAATATTGAAGGAGAAAAACAGTTACTGGAAATGGGAGAAAAATGGAAGAGTTAATAAGTAGTAGATTAGAAAGTTAGTAATAATAAAGTTAGTCAATAATAAAGCATGTATTTTTCTTTTCGTTAATTGACTGACAAGATTGTCTAAAATCTATTAAGGACCAACGTTTCATTAATGCAATTTTTCTCGATTATTCTATTCTTCAATATTGAAGGAGAAAAATAATTACTGGAAATGGAAGAAAAATAGGAGAGTTAATAAGTAGTAGATTAGAAAGCTAGTAATAATAAAGTTAGTTAATAATAAAGCATGTATTTTCCTTTTTGTTAATTGAATGACAAGATTTTCTAAAATCTATTAAGGACCAACGTTTCATTAATGCAATTTTTCTCGATTATTCTATTCTTCAATATTGAAGGAGAAAAATAATTACTGGAAATGGAAGAAAAATAGGAGAGTTAATAAGTAATAGATTAGAAAGCTAGTAATAATAAAGTTAGTTAATAATAAAGCATGTATTTTCCTTTTTGTTAATTGAATGACAAGATTTTCTAAAATCTATTAAGGACCAACGTTTCATTAATGCAATTTTTCTCGATTATTCTATTCTTCAATATTGAAGGAGAAAAATAATTACTGGAAATGGAAGAAAAATAGGAGAGTTAATAAGTAGTAGATTAGAAAGCTAGTAATAATAAAGTTAGTTAATAATAAAGCATGTATTTTCCTTTTTGTTAATTGAATGACAAGATTTTCTAAAATCTATTAAGGACCAACATTCCATTATTATTATTATGTTCTTCAATATTGGATAAGAAGATCAGTTATTGAAAATGGGAGAACAATCCCATAATGGAAGAGCGTTAATAAGTTAGCAGCGGATTACTAAGTTAATAGTTAATAGTAAAGCGTGTATTTTTCTTTATATTAAGTAAGTGATTAGAGTCGCTTTCAATACTCTATTTGAGTAATGCTCCATTTAGGAGCACAACGTTTCATTTCATCAACTCTTCGCTTTTGCTAGAAAATTGCATAATTTTGTGAAATTTGAAAAAAGAATCAAGGTTCGTACGATATTTCAATGAGTTATCGCTTAATTCTTAATGGATTAATCCAGGTTACGTGGAAATGTGGAGGAGCACGTAGAATGCATTGACTAATTGGACAGGTAAAATGTAGATCTTGATATTGGAAATGAAAAAGCGATTGAGGTAGAAAGTAGAGTGTTTTCTAACGAGTTTTGCAGTAGCAGAGCACATCTATCTCTTCAATTGATAATTTATGACAAAAAAATAGGGTTTTAATGATTTTTTAAATTTCTTCTTTTAATCTAAGTAAAGGAGACGTATATAGAACACACTGACTAATTGAAAGAGTGAAATGTAGTGCTTGGTTTATTGGAAGTGAAAAAACTTGGTTTATTGAATTCTGCAACGAGTTTCATAAGCGTAGAACGGATATTTTGCTTTATAAAAAATTAACAAAAGTGATTTTTTTTCTTTTTTTTTGTTTTTCAAAGTATCGTATGTAATGATTTGTATCCAGTAAGTGACACAGGACGAATTTTGTAATTCGATATCATTCATTGGCAAATGATCACGTCAATATTGGCGATGTTTGATAATTATGTACAATATTTAATAAAATTCGGTAGCATTGTTTGACCTGTGAACCAACGATGCGTTGAAATTGAATACATACCGTATCAATATGGTTACTCAGCCTTATTAAATTTAATTAACAATACGATTCTCATTATCTGTGCAAGCGAGCGAACACGAAATTCAACAATATTATCTCGAAAGCGTTTAACATTTGATCGCCCTCTTCCACGTCCTGTCGATTTTATATTTTTCAAAACAATCATTTTATAACGATACGTTTCTTTTCTAGCAAATTTTAAGTAATTTCGGTGAGTTAACTAAAGGAGTAATGTATAATTTTCAATTGATCAAAGAGGCGTGTAATTCTCATATTGAATTAAAGAGAAAGAATTATATTGGCACAAGAAAATTCACGATAGGTAAACGTACAATGGGTTTAACAATCTGTTAAATATTATACTCATTATCACGTTAGTTCATTTAGTCTGAGATACTCTTGTTGAAAAGTGGCTCGCTTCATATTTTCTCCTTTCATAATTTTCCCTCATATACTTTTTACTAATTCATTCTTTCTTCCTCGTTCCAGAAATGAATTCTGCTTTTCCACGAAATATTTCATTTCTCCATTCTCTCAAAGTTCACTTTTCACACTTTTACACCCTTTGCTCTCCTACCGGCACATTCATCCTTAAATTATTGGAATCCGAAGAATTTTTTTCACAGACATAGGAATTATCTTCATGCATTATTAATGCGCTTTACTTTTCACTTAAGCTTGCCAGCAAGAAAGAGATGTATACTTAACAAACCTTGAAGGCATTTAAGTCCACACAGCCTCTCATCATTTAATCCCATTTGGACACCGATATTACCGAAATCGTGCGTGTAATCTTTTTTTTTTCTTTTCTTTTTTTTCTTATCGAACGAATATCTCCGCTCCGAGAGATCGGTTCGTAGCTCCCAAGTGCGCAATAATGCTTTCGAAAATATTCTTCCTTCCGATTCTAAAACCAAATCCCTGGGGAACTGCACATCCACCTTTCCGATGCTAGTGAATAATGGTAGAATTTCCTTCAGGCTCTGCGAATCCTTGCACCTATCTCCGTGAATTGCTGAAAACTCGTTTCTGTTTCACATTGAGAGATCCTCTCCGAGTGCATAATATTTTAGATCTTTGTTGAGAATATAAGAATGCCGGGGAATTTTAAATTTGAGAAAACGTATCTCGCGTAAGTATTATTTCAAGTGATAGCAGCGGCCGTGGCATTTTATTTAAAAGTGCTCTCCGAGGGATGGACTTTTGTCTTCTTCGTATCAGATTTGCCTTATTTTTCTACTCGATTATATCAGATCCGCTTTACGTTAACAGTACGAGTACATCAAGTCTCGAACAGAATATTTGAGAAAAGATTTTATATTGGCACGATTTATTTAATTTTTACAAAAATGATTCATCGTATCAGAGAGATGAAAATTCACGTCAACAAGAGTTAGAGAAATTTCTTCTCTGAGATGTTTGCAGCGAAAATTAGAAAAAAATTTTCTTTCCGAATTACTCTTCGATTCTGTTGAATGAGCAAAATCCAAAATTCAAATTTGACTTGTCCGCGAAGTGTCTTTACAACGTTCATCCGCCCTCCGCCAACAGCGAGAAATATGTTCCGAGAGTCGAATAAACTCTCGACGAAAGACAATAGTAATTTTAGACTCACAGATTAAGGCTGTTTGAAATTCAAAGTGCCGGGCGGTTTGGATTACGGGCCACCTAGATGACAAAAATTCATTGCTCTGTTTGCTTTCAATCCGCGCTCGTATTTCTAACAGCGGCCACGTTGAAACACGAACTTTCTTTTTTTTTTCCCCCGCGACACTCGAGTGAATTTACGCGCGCGCTCTTTAGTGAAACAAACGAAATGAATGCAGAGCAATAGAAAATACTGAAGGGTCATACATTTTTCATTATGGTGACCCTGTTCTGCGTGAAAATTTGGTCATGTCGCGGATAATGAATTGGAAATCTCGTTTCATTTTCGCTGAAGAAGAACTTCTTCCTTACGTTCCCTCGAACCAATCCTGTTGGTGATTCAACTCCTCAGTTTCGCTAAGTAAGTTTGTTGAGATTTTTGAAATTGTGGTAAAACTCTGTGTGAAGTATTAATATTACATCACATTAATCGTAAATTTGTCAAATAGTACGTATTCGTTGATCAGTGTTAGAAATTGTCTAGTTAATTATATTCGAGGAAAGGCTCAGATTTTTTAAAAAGTATGTTTCGTTTAGGAAAATATAAAATTACGTATTTTTAAAATACTGGAACACATAATTCAAAGGAGCGTTTTATTTTGACGAAAATTGTTGTCAGAATTGTGGTACGAGAGACTCCTATTTCAACTTGTCAGACTTATCGTTGATCTGTGCTACTCGCGCGACGGCGTAAATCGACGTTTGCACTACTGCTCAGAGGCTCTATACGTTTATTAATTTGATAAAGTCGCGCGTAGGAAAAGCTTCTTGTAATTTCTGGGCTTAATGTTTTTCATTCTCATTGTCATAAGTTCGTGCGTTGCAAAGTTTGTCGTTCTTTACAGGACAAATATTTTTTTACTCCGTACATTCCATATATTCTCTTTATGGAATACCTCTTCAAAACGTGGAAAACATCATTAAAGCGAATTTGCCGTATGAACCGTTTCGTAAGAAGATCTTTCCAGTGAAAAATATTTGGAGCAGGCATAATTGAATACCATAACCGAGATAATAATTAATTTTTTGACTAATTGTCCGTTAATTTTTCATTTTTCACCAGCGCTTGTTAGTCTCGTTACGGGCGAATGATAATAGAATAATGTTTCGTATCAATTTTCCTCCAGTAACAGTGGAGAGAATGTAAAATTTTAATTAGAGATAATATATGCAGAAAATTAATAACACTAAGTGTCTTTGAATGCTTAAGCTTTATGTATACAAAGGGACGATGGGCGACTGTTAATTAACTTTTTTTTCCACAACTTTCCGTCTACACTTACGTTAAATCCTCTTTTTCATATCTTGTTTCCAGTTAATTCTTTCCAAATTTATCTCTCCGCTTATAAAAAAGCTTGTTTATATTTTCGCGTGTAATTATGCCAACGTTGCCAACGCATGCTTAAAAACTAGGTCGAAAATGCTTTGTGACGCTTTTAATCTAAAGTCTGAAGTATGTGTTATTAATATTTAATCTGAATATCTTCCTGGGCTGTGTACAATTTTTTTTTCTTTTTATCAGTTTCCAGAGCGTAATCAAGATGATACGATACGGGTGAAACTGCCCGTAACTATCTTTCCCACGTTGAAGCATAAAGTTCCCAGTTTTACAAACTTTTCACGAAGACAAGGTCGGATAAATTGATATTTTAATACGGAGTTAAGAGAAATTTGATCAGAGTGTCGTTTAGATGCAAGTTTAATTTCCATTTTTGAGTGAATGTAATTTCTGTTTGTGAAAGTGAAGATTCTAGAAACAAAAACGTTAAAAATTTAATTGCACTGTAAATAATTGTTAACTGCATGAAAGAAGGACTTGTTATAAATTTGTTAGAAATTTATATTTAATGCTATGGAGATCTATAATAAATATATTTAATCTAAATACTCAAAAAGATTCATCTTTAGTTTATCTTTGATTATCTTAAACGAATAATTGAATAATTTATACATAATTTTCTAGTATCGATTGGTTGACAGTTTAGACTACACTCTTTTACATAACATAGGAAGTGTACTGTAATATTACCTTTAGGGAGAGTCGACAAGATTGGGATCACAGAACATCGTGGCTGATCCGCTCGTGAATCTTTTGAGTGCTGGCGTACACACACATCTCAGACGCTATTTCATCGACGACAAAAGTTACAAGATCGCTCTTTTGAATCAATATTACTACTAAAAATAGATTAACTGGCGGTAAAATAATTTATTAATCAAAAAATCGTTTGAGATCACAAATTACAAATTAGTTGCCGATGAATTGAAAGTGAAGCGATTTATATATCAAAAGATCATCTAATTTGTAAATTAGAAAAATTTGTTATAAATAAAATTTTATTAAAATTATATTACAATTCTCTCTTTCTCTATATTTGTACATAATTGATATTTTACATATGACGAAACCAGTTGATACTAGAGAATCGTATACGAATTATTATTTATTTATTTTTGATAGTTAATAATGAGCTTTCGATATTTTTATCTCAACACTGATTTATAGCGAATATTAAACTCAAAATTCAGCAATTCAAACACAGACAACTTGCCGTTTTCTACGTCTCTATCTCGCCTTCAAAGCCTTCGCTGCTCTTGTCGGCATCTCTATAAAACTTTTACTCCCACGCGTGCGAGGATTTATCGGGAAAGAAAATAACGATTTCATCTGCAGATAGAATCTGTTTCTGAATCGTATTGTTTCGAAACTCTTTCGCGTGTCTCCTCTTTCGCCAATGGCGAGTGCATTACGCGTATTAGCCGAAATTGAACGGTCACAAAAGCGGGCGCGCGCCTGTAACGTACGCTCGAACGACGGAATTTCCGGCTCTCGGGGGCGGCTTAAAAAAAAAAAAAAAGAAAAAAAAGGAGGAAAAATAAAGGGGGGAAACCATAGCTGATTTCGTTACTTGGATTGTTCCTCGCCGGCCGGTGCCATTTCCAGATGGAGCTCACCACGTCACGTTGTAACGCGCTCCGCGTGTCTTTTATTCGTGGCGTGATTCAATGGCTCGGCCGGTATTGTCGTCGAGAAGAGGATACAAACGCGGTCATGGTATCATTCGCAGCAACGAGCCACGGCCAGCCGTGAATGCGGACTCGTTTGATTAAGCGTAATCTCGCGATGGGATCGGGGAAAAAGTAAGATTGAATGCGGCAACGAGACTCCAGATATTCACCCTCTTTTCCTTGCGCGATGCATCATTTCGCGCTACACAGGCTAATCGATTACGTTGCCCTTGTTACTCCTCGCTCACTCTATCTCTCCTGCTATTAGAAATTTTCCCATCAGTCCGACTTTACTTTGCTTGGCATCTCTTTCCTCTTTAATTTTTACATTTTCTCTTGTTCCTCTGAGCCTTTTTTTGTCGATTTTTTTGGGGAGTTGCAATTTATTACAAACTTCCGCAACAATTTACTTTGCTTCTCTTTGGTTCTCTTTCTTTTTAATTTTTATCATCTTTGTTGCTTTTTTCTTTTTTTCTGTGTGTGGATTAGAGAAGAATTTCTAGTGAGTTTAAAGTTTATTAGAAACTTCTCTGTCAATCCGACTTTATTTTGCTCGGTTCCTTTTCTTTTTAATTTTATATGTTTTCTAAAATACTTTGTGAAGAGAGTACTTTGAAATTCGTAGAACTTTTGGAGAGCCAAAATTTATTTCTACATGCACACAAATACATGTGAGATTAGTAGTTTCGTTTATAATTAATTTCTAAGTTTTTTCAAATGCACAGATTACCAAATTTGGAATAAGAGACTAATATTATCTCTGGAAGATATCGTCCTTTAAAATTTTTAATTATTGTACATCTTGGAGATTTTTATCGCAGACAGTTAGAAAATAAAGAACAAATTGTAGAAATTTTCATCGTATATATAAAATGAAGAATTCAGACCGTTTTGGAGATCAATGTAGCTTCCATTTTTATTTTCCAATTTTGCCACTGTTATTATCGCCATTTCCATTAACTATTAATAGTCCATTCTGGCGATTCCTATAAAATACCACCAGTTTTAGAACTTTCATTCCGTCGCTTGTTATTTTTTAACCTCGTCGTAATTTTTTCAGTGAAACGAATCCATATTCGCTGTAATTACATCTTTGAAACAGTTTGAATTTCTCAGATTTAACCTACATTCGATGGGGTGGCTGTAACGTCATAAGTTGGCCGATTTTATGAAGCAGTCGCAGGTGGGACTATTTTTTCAACGAATTATCGACGAGTACTTATTACTTACACGACCCAGTCCTGCAATCGCAAATCACGATTATTCCACACGGGATATTCCACTCAGCTGGAAACTGGCTGTTCCATTAAAAGGGTTAAACATGGGCAAACTTTCATTGGATAAAATGAAACGGCATGGAGTAAAACGTTCTGCGTGTCT